GAGTTTTAGCTTTCTCCCGTAGTAACTTTCTAGAGAACAGTTTAAAGCTAATTAGTTACTAGGCCAATATGAGATGACCGTTATACTGCATGGACTATGGGTTGGAAAATGTAAAATTGATATAGAACAACCAAGTACACACAAAACTGGTCCACTTTAGCTCAAAACTAGTTTATTTAGTACATTTGATTACACATGCATGCCCCTTAAGGAACGAATTGATTTTATCTTTTATCAATTTATTACATAGTATTAGTACGTCACCTACTAAATTAACCCAAACAAATAACGCTACATATTTTAATTAAACAACTTGTTTTAAACACACAGTTTTACCACATAATCTCATTACGTTCAGGAAAATTACAACAATTAAATAAACTAAGTAAATTTAAGTAAAACTACACAGTCAAAACGCAAAGTACATCAAGTCATGCAAAAATAAAACCAACAATCACCATCAAGGAAAGAGTAAACTTGGTCACCATGACACCAGTTGCACTGCTGGGGGTATAATTGTTGCAATTATAGGTAGTACAACATTCAAAAGCACACGATGTCAGACCCAATAGTCTGGTTAAAACGTTACACGATCTTTCAGTGTTGTAGCAAATAACACTGGTGCCACAGCTTCTTTCAACAGCTTCTGTGCCATTTTGGTAAGTAATAGATGTTGTGTAACAATATGGATGATCGTATCGACAGGTGCGTGGGCCACCAGTACATATTTGTTGTTCTTTTGGCTGTGTTGTCCAGTATGCACAAACATTGCATTTCAGAGCACTCCCTAAAACAAAACAAAAAAACAATGCAGTAGATCTTTACTTGCAAATTGAATTGTCATACCCCCAGCAGCCAGACTGAAAATGTGCATAATTGCAAAACATTTTGCGCAGGAAATTAATTTCCTCCAAAGTCAAAATCGGCTGCTGGCGACGTGTTTAAAATAGCTAGCAATATCAAGCAATTACATTATCCTATGAGAGATATAGCAATTCCCACATCTTTTCAGATAACTGTATATTGCTGGCAAGGAACATTATCAAGCATTGTGATTCAAGTCACTGAAAATTTATAAATTTTCTTACCCAAAGCTGAGATAGCCAACACAACTCCTAAAGCGAGTAAAATTTTGCTCAACATACTGTGATCTTTTCCAAAACTAAATCAAAGACAAAAACAAATTGAATATATACTCGCGGGAGGTGGATATTAGTGCTTTTCACGCAATTTGATTGATTGTTCAGCTCCGAATATCCTTGCACTATATTCACCACCGGACAAAACCAAAATGGCACACTATTCTTGACGTGCTAAAACCCTAAAATGTGCTATGGTTTCACTCGAGGGACCAAAATGGCTTCCCGTTTCGTTCCGGTTACAGACGTGGAAATTTTTGTACTAAAAAACTAAACGAAGCAGCGGTTTCGCCAAACACGAAGATTTTATCCATTATTCTAATGAATAAAATTACTAAAATTGAGATTTACATCCTGTTTTGTTTAAAAATATATTCGTTGTTTTCACCAACACTGAGGTGAATAATTGTTAAATATTGGTCGAAAGCCGCAGATTGATAAGCAATGTTGATAAGCAATATCTAATTGGCAATCACAGATATAAGAATAGTGAAATACATGTGAGGACATATAATGTAGTATATACTCAAATAATTGTGGTGCCGATGCCAAGTTTGTCACCGCCATTGGAAAAAATGTTGAAAATCCATAGAAGGTCATAGAATGGAAATTGTATGGACCTTTATTGGAAATAGCATGGATTTTGATTATCCATAATAATTGTATATTTCCATACTATGGATATAGTATCGAAATATGGATATATACTATGGATTTAGTGGTGCAATTGTAGTCATAGTATGGATTTCATATTTTTTCCCAGTGCGCTTTATGTTCTGCCCATCGATTTAGACGCTGCTCTTTTGTCGCACTTATAAAATCGTTGTATTAGGTTCGGCGTATGAAAAGTTCGCCGTCTTAACCGTGCCTATATAAGAACAAAAATGTTGTCCACGAGTCGGTGCAAACCACGAAACAGACAACGGCACAATGTTATCTATTTGTTAAATAGAATATATAAATAACTAGAAAATACATGCATGCAGAAACCCTCGCCTTGCTGAAAAAACCATTGCATTTTCACATGAAGACATGAAGTATCTAAAGTAGTTGTCATCGTAACACGATCATTTTTTAAGAATATTTTTACAAATGAAAAATCGCCTAAAAATATCACTTTTAATTACAAAATTATCAATTTCCCAACATATATATGTTAGGTATGTTATTATACGTAATATAGCTTCGATTTAAGGTAAAATTCAACCACAAACGCTTCGCATAACGCCTTCAAAGTGTTCTTTATAAAACTAAACTGCCTTTACCGACTTTAATTAAATGGCTTTATCGATAAACTTTGAGTTTGCAATAAAATGATTTCAAATTCTCGCATGCAAATAACTTTGCTTTCTTTTTTATTTAAAAAATTCAATATAATAAAAAAGGGAGGAAATTTTACACTTTACCGTACCGGAGTAATCACTGAATACATACGCGATACGCCATCAAAACACGCCAATTGAAAGAACGGAAAAACCGTCAGAGCAAACGCCATCAAATACTTGCGGTACGGTAAAGTGTAAAGTACCCAAAAAGGGAATCAATATTAAAGATACACTGAAATTATATGCTGTCTTGTTTAGTTGTTTCATATACGCAAAGGCCGTCGGGTTTTAAATTAAAGCAATTATAAAATCAATATTTAAAATAAACTTACCTTCGGGATTCGGCTTCGTTAACGTCGGCTCCCTTCTTTTAGCCGATTCTTTCGTTCTTTCTTTCTTTCTGAGAAAACTTTTGAAATTTACAAAATCTTGCAAAAGTGCGAGCAAAAATGAAATATATTTGCAAGAAATTTATCAATCATCAAATCACAGAATAGATACCGGACCAGAAGTGTCACTCCTATTTGTTTTGGCCACAGAGTAGAGACATACAGAGACGTAACTAGTGTACCCACTTTTTTTGTGCGCATGCTTGGCAAGTTACTAGATGCATGCATCTGATTGGATGACGACCTGATGACGACTCACTTTAAACTTGCTGAGCACGCGCAGTTGATCATTTTT